GGAAAAAAGATAATGGATTTTTTCTATGAACTTTTTGAAGCCTCTTTGTATTTTCAGTTAATAAAAATGTGAAATTTTAAATTGGAATGCAATTATGTAATGGTGTCCCCCTGCAATCCTCCTCCCTCCCCCAGGTCATTTTAAACAGTACATGGTAGTCAGAGTAATAGTGTGTTTTAAATCCTAAATAATGGTTTAACTGTCAAGCGTTGACATAAATTTGGACATTAGCACATTATCTGAGAGAACCATCAACGATAATAAAAACTATAACTTATTCAGTGATTGCCTTTGCTAGATTCTGTTTTACATATACTATTTCATTGTTGTTGTTAAGTACCATGGCGTCAGTTCCGACTCATAGTGACACCCTGCACAGGGTTTATGAGGCTGTAAATCTTTACGGAAGTAGAAAGCCTCATCTTTCTCCCTCGGAACAGCTGGTAGTTTTGAACTGCCGACCTTGAGATTAGCAGCCTGATTCATAGCCACTACACTACCAGAGCTCCTTAATACCTCAGAATAGTCCTATGAGGATGGTATTGCTGTGTGCTGTCAAATTTATTCTATAGGATGGAGCCGACCCTATAGGATGGAGTAGAACTGACCCACAGGGTTTCCTAGACTGTAATCTTTCTGGGAACAAATTGCAGATCTTTTCTCCTGTGGAACCACTGTAAGGTTTGAACTGTTGACCTTTCAGATAGCAAGCTGAGTGCTTAACTACTGTACCACCAAGGTACCTTCCTATTATTTACCCCATTTTAAAGATGAGATTGAGTCACAGCATAAATCCTTAACAAACGTCTCAGGGCTAGTTAAGAGTTAGAGTCAGGATTTCAATTCAGGAAATCTGGCTCCAGAGTCAGTACTCTGAACCTGTCTGCTCCCCAGCCTTTATCAGAGACTACAGTTTGAATCACAAGAGCAATTAAAACTCACCAGCTGCTGCTTGGAAACCTTATACAAGGTCGCTATGAGTTGGAACCAACAATTATGCTATTAACAACAACCAACAATTATGCTATTCCAGAGTAATCTAAGTACAGAGTAGAATGTGAGTGATGAATTCACCCCTGTTGGATCTACAAAACAGTCTGCATAGCATTAGGTATGACTGTTGTAAAGACAACTAGTAGCTCTATTCGTGGTCCCAGGATGCCAGCTCACAGACCTACTGCCAAAATCACCCAGTGAACTAATGAAAATCCATACATTCCAAGACCCAAACCCAGAAATTCTGATTCACAGGATCTGAGGTGGGGACCCGGGAATCTGCATTTGTAACAAGCTCTCCATGTGATTATGAATTTATTCTGATGTGGAAACTCTGGTCCTCTAGATCTTTTATTACCATTGATATCTTTAGGACTGTATGGTAAATGGAAACTTTGGGAATTGGGGCCCATTGGAAGAATGCTTTTAGGTAGGTACTTTTAAGGTATTTTGAAACTTAGCATTTGTTCTTTTTGTCTCAGAAGAAAATAGGTGCTCAGTAAATGCATACGGGTTTGGTTAATTATAATCCCTGTTTTATAATTTACTTTACAAAGCTCTATCACATACTTTATCAAATTTAATCTTCATCAGTAAATACAAGTAGATATTGAGCATGTGCTAGTTGTGAAGTATCGCAATGCAGTTCTATGCTTATGAGGTTCATCAGTGAGATGGGATAGACTGCGTGGCAGTACAGAGAGCATGCACCAGAGCCAGATGAGTAGTGTAGGTGGTGAGGTCAGGGAAAGGCAGTCAGTAACCAGCGCTGTACTGTCAATCCATGTGGGAAGAAGAGCCAGGCTCTGGAAGGAGGGTAAACCTAACCTCAGAAGCTGCATGTAGTAGGAATGCCAGGCACTGTGTGAAGACTCCACTAGCCTTGTGGCCCTCTTTGTGAAAGCTTTTCATTCTTCCTTAGCTCCTGCATTTCAGACCAGGGAAATATGGGACCTTTTTTTTTTTTCTATTTCCAGTTTCTTCCAACCTTGCTGCCTTGATTCTAGGGGTACAGCACCGTCCCCACATGATCTTTCCCATTCTTGAGCCTGTCAGTTCTTTGACCTCTTCATCTTGTACAAGAATCTTCTTCACTTGTTTTACACTGCCACTCCAATGCCCAAAGGCCCCCTCCACTTCTGCTCCTGTCCCAGACTGATCCCCTCCAGAATCATAATCAGATCCAGTATTCTCTGGCCATTACCTCTCAGTTCTGTCACTTGCAGCTCTTTACCCCCCAAACAGTTCTTCATCAGTGATCCCTCCATTTTTTCCGTCTTCTTGCCTTCTACTTAAAACATTCCTTTACATTCTTGATTCAGGCCTGCTGCACACCTAGGTTTCTTAAGGAGCCTTTCCTCTCTCAGGTTAGCTCTTATGTTGGATGCTCCTATAGCATTCTTTGCTTTCCCTTGGGTAACATTTAGCATATTTTGTGTGTGGTTAGTATCTGCATCCTCTGCCAGATTAAGCTTCGTGAAGGCAGAGGCTGTGTGTAGTACAATACGTTGGCTCAGCAGATACTGTTGAATAGATGAAAATATATACCACTAGTTTAAAACTGTGATTCTAACTTCAGTGGCAGGGAAGGTTGGCAAGGAAGGAATGACCGGATACGAGATGAAGTAGTATGAGAATAAACTGGGCAAGAGGGCGGCAGGCGTGGTTCTCTATTTTTTGTGCTTTTTTCTTATAAAAGGAGCAGGCCTCCAGCTCAGAGCCTTCATCAATGGATAGTATCTCTGGGAGTTAATAAGAAATGCAGTGTTTTCTTTGCATTTTTGTGTACAACTACCTTTTTATCCAATGAAGAGATAAAGCTTATTTTTTATTGTATTTAAGTGCACTGATTTAAACAAGTAGTGTTAATGTTAGGTGCCATCATGTCAGTTCCAACTCATAGTGACCCCATGCACAACAGAACAGAACACTACCCGGTGCTGAGTCATCTTCACAACTGTTATGTTTGAGCCCATTGTTGCTGCCACTGTGTCGACCTGTCAAGGAACTTCCTATTTTTCGCTGACCCTCCACTTTGCCAAGCATGATGTCATTCTCTAGGGACTGGTCCCTCCTGATAATGTGTCTAGCATTTGGTTTAGAAAATACTAACTTAGAAGAACATACAGGGATCCCTTATCCAAGTCCTGGGGGCAGGGAAAACAACCTGGAACACTTTTCAAGCACACTTGTAATATCACCATTGAGAACCACTAGTCTAGAACAGTGGACAGAATCCATTGGTTGTATATCTTATTATGAAAGGAACTTGGGAGCTTACATGTGTCAAGCCCTCAACACAGTTCCTGGCTTATGGTTGTCATTCAGCAAGTGTTATTTTAATTTTTCCCCTCCTTTTAAAAGCAGGTTCTATCCTGGAGTCTCCTACCAATATTGTCTTAAGGAACAAGTTACTGTGATGTAAATAGATTGTTGTTGTTGTTGTTGTTAAGTACCATCAGTGGTTCTGACTCATAGGGACCCCCGTATAGGGTTAATTTGAATTGCCGACTTTGCGGTTCAAACTGACCTTTCAGTCCAGTGCATTATGCCATAGCTCCACACCATCGTAAGTAGATTAGATCACATCATTTCTGATGTTCCCTCCAATGTTCAACTTCTTTATTTCCTTTAGTGTCTTTTTAGTGGGGGTTTGGGAAGACATAGAGCGAAACATGGGCTCAATTTATCATGTATAATCAATGCCTGATGTTCTTTGTTTTACTCTAAATATTCCATCCTTACATTTTAAAGATTTAGAAAATCATTTATTGTCATCATTCAAACATCTTTTCAAGAACTAATGAAAATTAAATGACATTTACAGCTTACTGTAATTCAGACTTTAATTTAATGAGAAAATATAATGATCCATTGCTTTTAATGTTCTATGATCGAGCAGCCTTCATGTGAGTATAAGGGAGAGCAAATGCCATTTCCAAAACTAATTATCTTGGGCCTTTACTAGAAATAAAACTAGTCATTTCATCCCATATTTTATAGAAATAGAAGTTGAAATTTTTCTTTGAGAGTCAGTGATTTAAAAGGGGAATCAAATTACCAGAGAGATGATCATAATCACATAGACTCTTAGACTTAAGTGTTTCTCTGCATTTTATTCATGATGTTTTGCTCTTCCTTTCAATTTGCCTGACAATCTTCCTCTGTAGTTTTATATTTACATTCTACCAACTATATACTTAAGATGTCAATTCTTCCCTTAGCTAATTTTATAGGCTTTGAGCTGGAAATTTGGTATTCTTACAGACTGCTAAATGTACTATATTTTGTCTTTTGGTATTGAAGAAACTATTAAAGGGAAATTTTTTTGACTAACATTCTTGCCCCAAGAGAGATTCTGTAGTCTCTGGAGTTAGTAATTCTATTATGTATTTCAATAAGTGCAATTTCCTTTTCAAATGTTAAAATTAAAAAAAAAAAAAAGTGCTATCTCAAATATTCCTGCATTATTTATATCTAATGTATCTATGCACTTGAATTACTCAAATTTTGAGCTGCATGGCCATGATTATGCTGTACCAGTTGATGTACATTATTTATATAACAACAGATGGTAATGGTGCAGGTTGAAATAAAAGATCATTAAGCTAAATATTTTAGTCTGCATTGGCTCCCTGTTGCATAGAATTTGTCAAAGTGAAATAGAATCATAGCACTTCAGAACTGGAAGAGCCCTTAGAGACTGTCTCATCCATTCCCCCCTTTGACAGATGAGAAAACAAGCCCAGAGATAATGCTACTTGCCAAGGTCGTACAGCTAGTTAGTAGCAGAGCGAGGAGCAGAATCTAGCTGTACTGTTTCTTAATTCAGTGCTCTTTCAACCATCTATGTGAGACTTTTAGAAGGCAGCCAATTTACCTCCCTGATGTCAACACCAATTACCCTAATCAATTTCATATCTATTCAGCTGTAGAACATATATACTTTCACTCCATTATGAGGCTTAGTTAAATTTTATATCTGACTTTTTTTTTTAGGTTGGTCTCCACTCACATCTTTTCATACTGAAGACATCAAAGTGCACCTGCATCTACCACTTTTTCAGAAGACTTAGTATCAAATAATAAATTTCACACTGTGATCTTGTTATAGTATAAAAAGCTTTTGAATTCTCTATATCTGAACAAGATTTTCTCTAATTTTCCCATGAAGCCATATTGTTGCTTTTTCATTTTAGTGGTGAGTATTATTGTGCCAGCTGCTTTTGTTTTGGAAGATGTAGACTTCAACCAAATGTCCCTACTGGGAACAAATGACAGTTCTTCCAATGCATCGTTTCCCCCAAGCTTTGAACTCTCATCAGATTCCAGCTCCGGTGATGGTGTCATCATAGCCAGAGAGGGAGCTAGTGTTTCAATCGAGTGTCTTCTCTCCGTCAGACATCATGAAGACATCCACTGGTACAACTCCAAAGGACAGCAACTGGATGACAGAGGCAGAGGTAACTGTTGTTGTTGTTGTTGTGTGCAGTCACGTTGATTCTATAGCAGTCTTCTGAACAGAGTAATACTGCCACACAGGGTTTCTAAGGCTGAAAATCTTTATGGGAGCAGTTGGCCAGTTTTTTTCTACTGAGGAGTGACTGTTGGGTTCAAACCACCACCTTTCATTTAGCAGCTGAGCTCTTAACCATTGTAGCATCTGGAGTCCTTGAGGTAACTGGGCCAGAGTGTGATTAGTCAAGGTTACTCCTGTCCTGCTAGATCTGTCTTCTTGGTTTTATGGTATGTTCAATAAAAAGCTTCAAAGAACAGGTACCAAAGTCCTGAAGTATTAGACCTATCAGAAAATGCAAAATAGTTCCTTAACTAGTAGAAAAAATGTGTAAAGAATAGTTCTAAATAAAAAGCTGTTTGTGTTCCCATGGTGGCAGTCAGCTGTTTCCTTCCTCCTGGTGAGTTGGTTTTCCTTCTTCATGGCACAGGGCTGCTGCATACAGCAGTGCAAGCTAGGAATGGCTCACTTCCAGCATCACCGACCACTAAGACAACAGTACTGGCCCTGTGAAGATGCAGCCAGAAGCATTTGGCTTCGACTTAACGTCAGTTTGTTATATATATATTTTTTTAATATGTTGTTCTGAAATGAGTTAAGACAAATGTTGGAGAAAAGTCTCTGATGTTTTCAAAATGAGAAAACTTGGAACTCCTCTGAGAATTAGAAGATTGTTACGGAGGAGCTCTGTAGAACCTTCTAGCTCTTTTTTTCTATTCTATATCTTAATTCATTTGAAAGCAGGAGTTTATCCTGCATCGGTCTCCAAAATCACATAATTATCGTGTAATCAAGGTCTATTTTTCACAGGTTTTTACTAGTTTTTCCTATTTGTGGACCTGTGAGTACATACAACCCCACACTCTTTTCTTACCCAGTGTTTCGATGAGTAATTTTAAGTTATGTGCCATTGAGTCGGTTCCAACTCATAGCGACCCTGTATAGGATTTCTGAGGAGTGGCTGGTAAGCTTGAACCACCGACCTTGTAATTCAAACCAACTTTGCAGTCTAGCACAGTAACCCACAGCATTGCACCAGGACTTCATTAGTTAAAACACCACAAAAAGAAATCACCGTGAAAAGCGAATGGGATAAAGATTAAATCCTGGGAACCCCACAAGTTATACTTTTAGAAAAGGCTCCTTTGTCTTTTTTTATTGTTAGAAAGATAGTCTAGCCTTTTGAAATTTCAAGGATATTTAGCTATTTTGTTGTTGTTAAGTGCCATGGAGTCTGTTCCGACTCATAGCGACCCTGCACAAGGTTTCCGAGGTTTGTAAATCTTTACAGGAGCAGAAAGCCTCATCTTTCTCCCGCGGAACAACTGGTAGTTTCGAACTGCTGACCTTGAGGTTCGCAGCCTGATTTGTAACCACTACGTCACCAGAGTTCCTTTAGCTATTTTAGTAGGATGGAAAACAGAAAAAGAAGCAGATGACAGTTCCTTTGGAAATATACATTAAACGTTTTAGCCTTCTGTGAACAATAGCTGGTCACCAAGAGACTGAAAACTTTGAATTGTTAGAACAGAACTAGAATTACTGTAAACTGGCCTAAACTTAAGTAACCAGCATAAAGAAAACTAAAATTTCTCTCTAAAGCTCAATTTTTTGGGCTAAATTTTTCTTAAATCTGAGTTTTGCTATCAGGCAAAACTCAGAGATAGATCCCTCTGAAATTTTTTCTTTAAGGGTAGTTTTTACTTCACTGTCCAATGTAGTAAACATGACGATTGAGCACTTTAAATGATACTAGTCCAAACTAAGATGTGCAGTAACTATAAAATACACACTGGATCAAAAACTTTCGAAGAGAGAAAGGAAAAACTCCTGCCACCGTAGGATAAGCACTTGACCTCAAGGTCGGTTTGAACCGCAAGGTTGACAAGTCAAATTCACCAGCCGCTCCTTGGAAACCTTATACAGGGGCGTTATGAGTTGGAACCAAATTAACAGCACTTAATAACAATAACAATCTTTTAATATTGACTATATGTCAAGATGATAATATTTTAAATATTGGGTAAAATAAGATACTAAAATTAATTCCACCTATTTCTTTTTACTTTTTCTAAATACATCTATAAAATTTTATTCGATAAGTTACTTGCTTCTGGAATTCCCATTACGTTTCAAATGTTATTGTTGTTAGGTGCCATCAAGTCAGTACTGACCCATAGCGACTTTATGCGCAGCAGAATGAAACACTGCCCGATTCTGGGCCAATCTCACTACTGTTGCCACACTTGAGTCCATCGATGCTGCCACTTGGCCAATCCATCTCGTTGGGGGTCTTCCTCATTTTCTCTGACCCTCCACCTTACCAAACATGATATCCTTCTCCAGTGAATGGTCCCTCCTGACAATATGTCCAAAGTATAAGAGACGAAGTTTGGCCATCTTGGCCTCCAAGGAGCACTCTGGCTGTACTTCTTACAAAGTGGATCTATTGGTTCTTTTGGCAACCCATGGCACTTTCAATATTCTCCTCCAACACCATATCTCAAAGGCATCAGTTCTTCTACAGTTTTCCTTATTCACTGTCCAGCTTTCGCATGCATATGAGGTTATTGAAAATAACATGGCTTGGGTCATGTGCATGTTAGTCCTCAAGCTGACATCTTTGCTCTTCAACATTTTAAAAAGGTCTTGTGCAGCAGATTTGCCCAATGCAATACATTGTTTGATTTCTTGACTGCTGCTTCCATGAGTGTTGATAGTTGATCCAAGAAGACTGATGTCCTTGACAACTTCAATCTTTTCTCCATTGATAAGAATGTATTTTATTGGTCCAGTGATGAGGATTTTTGTTATCTTTACATTGAGATGTAATCCATACCGAAGGTTGTGCTCTTTGATCTTCATCAGTAAATGTTTTAAGTGGTCTTCACTTTCAGCAAGCAAGGTTATATCATCTGCATATCTCAGGTTGTTAATAAGTCTTCCCCCAATCCTGATGCCACGTTTTTCTTCACAGAACCCAGCTTCTCGGATGATTTGCTCAGCATACAGGTTGAATAACTATGGTGAAAGAATACAACCTTGTCGCACACCTTTCTTAATTTTAAAACATTCAGTATTCCCACGTTCTGTGCAAACAGCTGCTTCTTGGTCTAGGTACAGATTCCTCATGAGCACAATTAAGTGCTCTGGAATACTCATATTTCGCAATGTTGTCCATAGCTTGTCATGATCCTCACAGTCAAAAGCCTTTGCGTAGTCAATAAAGCACAGGTAGACATCTTTCTGATATTCTCTGCTTTCAGCCAAGATCCATCGGACATCAGCAATGATAGCCCTCGTTCCACGGCCTCTTCTGAATGCGGCATGAATCTCTGGAAGTTCTCTGTCAGTGTATGATTGTAGCCGTTTCTGCATTAAGCAAAACTTTACTCGCATGGGATATCAAAAAGATTGTCCGATGATTTCAGCATTCCAACTGGTCACCTTTCTTTGGAATGGGCACAAATATGGATCTCTTCCAATCAGTCAGCCAGATATTTGTCCTCCTAATTTCTTCGCAGAGATGAGTGAGTGCCTCCTGTGCCGCCTCACTTTCTTGAAAGATTTCAATTTTTATCCCATCAATTCCTGGTGCTTTGTTCTTTGCCAGTTCCTTCAATGTACCTTGAACTTCCTCCTTCTGTATCATTGGCTCTTGATCATATGCTACCTCTTGAAATGGTTGAACATTAACCATTTCCTTTTGGTACAGTGACTCTGTGTATTCCTTCCATCTTCTCTTGATGCTTTCTGCATCATTCAATAATATGCCCAGGGACTCAATCTTTCAATAACAAAAGTCGAGGCTTGAAATTTTTCTTAAATTCCCCCAGCTTGAGAAATGTTCCTTTTTGGTTTTCTGATTCCAGATCTTTGCACATTTTGTTGTTATATTTGGCTTTATCTTCTCTAGCTGATCTTTGAAATTTTCTGTTCAGCTCTTAGACCTCCTCATTTCTTTCATTTGTTTTAGCATCTCTATGCTGGAGAGCAAGTTTCAGTGTCTCTGCTGACATCAGTTTTTACCTTTTCCTTCTTTCTTGTCTTCTTAATGACTTTTGCTTTCTTCATGTATGATGTTCTTAATGTCATCCCCCAACTCTTCTGGTCTTCGGTCTTTAGTGTTTAATGTATCAAGTCTGTTCTTCAGATGATCTCTAATCTCTAAATAGACGACACTATTTTAGAACATCACCTCTTCTCTGTTTCTTATAACTAATTATGGTGAGTCTGAATTGTAGATCTAGCTCTAATGTAGCTGGGATTTATTTGTGACTGTCAAGGTGGCCTTTGAGTCTGTCCCTGGGCAGGAACACTCCAAAGTGTTGGCTATCAAACAGTTTGTAACTCTCATGATTGAGACAGTGCACAAAAAGTATTGTCACAATGCAGATTTCCAGGCACCCCCCCACCCACCCACTAAAGTATCTGATTCAGGAAACTATTTATAATTAGCACTCTGAATAAATATTAGATCTTTGACCCCACTCAGAGAAACATTGATATAAAAATACAACATTGAAATGATAGTCTAGTCTTCTGTCTATTTCACAGTGAACTTACAAGCTTCTTTGTCAGAACAGTTTGAAAAGCTAGGCTAAACAAAACTATCCAGCTTACTTGGCTTATGCACTCCTCCCTCCCATTCCTTTGTTTTTGCCCTTCCACAATTCATTCACGAAGTCTTATTTTCCCAACCACTCACTCACTTACCTCATGGACAACCATTACAGTTCCTGGGTGGCACAAACAGTTTGCACACAACTATTGGCCCTAAAGGTGGGTGGTTCAAGCCCACCCAGTTGAGCCTGAGAAGAAAGGCCTGATGATCTGCTTCTGTAAAGATTATAGGTAAGAAAATCCTGTGGAGTGGTTCTGTTCTACAGCACGTGTGGTTGTACTGATTTGAATGAACTCAACAGCCATTGGATACTATGGGCCAAGACTGCCCTTTTGTTCTTTATCTCACCTGGGTTTGCTTTCAAGGATCCTTTCTCCACATTCAGTCACTTAACTGTATCATACTTTATTCTATTCTTCTTTTTGTTATTTGTATTAGTGCATCATAGAATGAAATAGATTAACAAAAACCAAGCTAGATCAGTGATTCCCATCAACTAATTAAAAATGAAGACTTTTTGAATCATAATCAGTTGGTGCCCAGAATGTATATTTTGAACATGATTTGGGGTTCCACATCTGGAACTCACTGAACTCAACTCTTATCTCCCTGGCTATAGGATGTATCCAAGATTTGGGTTATCAATCAATGTCATTAGTATAGACAGATGGATACATAAACAAAGCTGCAGGTTAGGACAAGACCAACTAAGTGGAATGGCGGTTTCACTTTCTTTTTTTGTTGTTACTTTGAAAACCACTAACATGTATCATTGATGCTTTCAGCAGCAGCTCTGGAAGATTGTATTAAATTTTATGAATCGCAAGTGAGAGGAGTTTAAAGAGCATGTCAGTCTAGTTTAACGTTTGTAAATCTTAAGCTATTATCAGCAAGTGAAATAAAGGGTTTAGATAGTGGTTGTAGTGTAGTGGTTGAGAATGGAGTATGCGTATTTCATAATACTGTGTGTTCAGAGGGTATCTTTTTCATAGTTTCAAGTTGATTGAACAGAAGCATATGGGCTACTAGCTATATCCACCTATTTTTTTTTTTTCCTTTTTGTACTAATAAAGTGATTTATTCTTAACTATAAAGAATTTAGGTAAATTTTGATGATTAGAAAATGGTGTCATTCTAGCATGCTTATTAATGCATATGCCACTAAAATAATCCAGGCCATAGAAAATAAAGGGAGAGAGAAATCTTGAAGATTAGACACTGAGATGATGTGTAACAATCAATCACCCAGTCTCCCCTGAGACATGAAGTGTACTTACTGGAACCTAACCACACCTCATGTTAGTCCATGTATCTCATGTTTGAGTGGCTTTCATAATTGAAGCACAGAGTACTTTGGGAATTCACCTCAAAAGTGAGTATAGGAAATGGGGTGGGGGGGAGGGGAGAACCCTACAAAGGCAAGAAGTGACTAGCTTACAAACTTTCAAGAGGGAACCTAGATTCAGAGGGCGTGAAGGAAGGTAGAATCTCCACTCAGTAGTATCCAATCTGTCTAGGCTGGACTGATGAAATGAAATGTGGATAGATCTCTTGTGATACAATAGTGAATAATTGTTATCAGGACTGCTGATGAGAGTTAGAAATATAAAGGTAGACGTTTTATAACAAGGAGGGGAGTGACTAACTCTTCAGTCTAGGAGCGGAGGTCCCTGGGACCATCAAGGGAGAATAGCGGAGTGCAGGACCCTACCCAGAGAAGCAGTGATGCCTGAGATGGAGGCAGAGATGATGATGTGGAGAGATGTAGCAGTTGGGGACTTTAGACCCAGAGAGGGAGAGGGGCTGTGAGCTGATGACCAGGAGGGCAGACTTGTAGTATATACCCTTTGATTGGTTGATGATGCATGGAGGGGATTGTAACCATGGCAATGAAACAATATATGATAGGATGAATGTAAAGCTAATGGTCTCCTAAGTAAACTATCACATAATTCACAGTAAGACATTTAAAAAAACAATGAGTATAGGGCCGACAGAGTCAAGTTTTTAAAGGACATGGAGTCAAGAAGGTAGACAGTGCACTTTGCTCTTGTACGTATTTTTGTATGTACGTTTTTGAACGCAGATGCCTTCTTGTATGGGGGAGAGACAGCATGGCTTAGGTTTTAAACAGTACCTACTTAAGGGCAACACTTTATTCACTTTGTCAAGTTGTTCATTTACCCTGACTTCCAAAACATATCTTTTGGCTTTTACATCAGTTACTCTTGCCAGAAACCAGGATCATCATCAACAGATCTCTCCTAACCAAACAAATTAACATGTGCAAAGCATGCCAGATTAGCCAGTTAATAATTAAAAACCCAAAACTAAAGCCAGTGCCATCAAGTCGATTTCAACCTTTCATAGGGTTTCTGAGGCTGTAAATCTTTACAGGAACAAAAAGCCTCATCTTTCTTCCATGGAGCCGCTGGTGGGTTTGAACTACTGGCTTTGCAGTAGTTCAGTACTTATCCTACAGTGCCACCTCTTATATAGCTTATTATGGAAAGTTAGTAAACACAATTAAATAAAAAATATTGGGCTGCTAACAAGTCAGCAGTTTGAAGTCACCAACCACTCTGAGGGACAAAGATGAGGCTGTCACTCCCATAAAGATTTACAGTCTCTGAAACCCTTATATAGGATCATTATGAGTCACATTATAGCCAAGAAAATCCTAAGTCAGAATCAATTTGATGGCTGTGAATTTAACCTGTTACTCCAGAGATAACCAGTTTTTCAGTTTTGATAATATCCTTCTATTTTATGAAAGTAAATACGTAGAGATGGTGAGATAGATACACACAGAGACATATAAACATATTTCTTAAAAGTTAGTCATTATTTTCTGTGAAAGCCTTTATATCTAGCAGCGAAAAGGTAGTTCTGATAATCCTTAGTGCCGGTAAGAAAGATCCTGGTTTCTTTTTTAAGTTCAAGGCTAGTTGAGTGCTGAATTGTAATATAACAGTCTGCCCTTTCTTACATGATTTAAACAAATAGTAGATCCTAACAGAGAAATTAAATTTGAAGTGGTGGAATACTGAAAAGGTAATTGGCATATTATTACTAATATTCTGTATGCTGTAATTTTTTTACAATTTCTGTTGCATTATCAGGTGGAAAATGGTTGGTTTCTGAGAACTTCCTGAATATCACCAGCGTAGCCTTTGATGACCGTGGGCTCTATACATGTTTCATCACCTCTCCAATCCATGCTTCCTACTCTGTTACCCTACGTGTTATCTTCACCTCAGGAGACATGAGTATCTACTACATGATTGTCTGCCTGATTGCCTTTACCATCACGCTCATCTTGAATGTCACACGTCTCTGCATGATGAGTAGTCATCTTCGCAAGACTGAGAAGGCCATCAATGAATTCTTCAGAACTGAAGGGGCTGAGAAACTTCAGAAGGCCTTTGAGATTGCAAAACGTATCCCCATTATCACCTCAGCCAAGACTCTGGAGCTTGCCAAAGTCACACAATTTAAGACCATGGAGTTTGCTCGTTACATCGAAGAACTGGCGAGAAGTGTTCCTTTGCCACCTCTTATCCTAAACTGCCGGGCATTTGTTGAGGAGATGTTTGAAGCTGTGCGAGTAGATGATCCAGATGAAATGGGAGAACGAATTAAAGAGAGACCTGCCTTGGATGCTCAAGGCAGCATCTATGTTATCAACCCAGAGATGGGCCGGAGTAATTCACCAGGAGGTGATTCTGATGATGGTTCTCTGAATGAGCAAGGCCAGGAGATAGCAGTTCAGGTCTCTGTACACCTTCAGTCAGAGACCAAAAGTATTGATACTGATTCTCAAGACAGCAGCCATTGCAGCCCATCTGATGATGTGGCCTCAGCCGAATCTAACCCTAACTACAAAGATGGAGCATATGAAAATTGCCAGCTTTGAGCGATGCCAGTACCTACAAAAAGATTTTTTTAAAAACTCTCCGGAAAGGAACTTGCTTCTAAGAAGAAATAACTTTTTTACTAAAAGATGAATGGGATTTTTCCCTTTTAATAGCACATCAGGACATGAGTTGCTAAAATCATTGTAAAAATGCAATTTTTTTCCTATCTGATACTTCCGTCATTTTCCCCCTCCCTGAGTAAATGATACACATTAAGAGTTAAAGGAGCCTGAGAGAGAAACATGATGGAGGAAGTACCCAAAGTCAGAGACCTATAGCTTCTCTTCTAGTCATGATTCTTCCACTGGTTGGTTTTGATAGGTCTCTATTTTCCCATCAGTAAAATGAGGAATTTGTATTAGATGACATCCAAAGTTGTGTCTGACTTCTTCAGTGCACTCTTAACTAAGCCCTTCAGAATTTTTCTCTGATTTAGGTATCCACACCAATAACATAATGCATAGTTGTGTGGGTGTTCTTCAGCTGTTTTGTCTTAAAAAGCATTCAGTTGTATGTGTAGACATCAGAGAACTAACTGCTCATTAGGGAATTACTTTCCATGAGTAAATTGGTCCAATTTGGGGGTATATCATGTCTTTTGAACTTAATGAGGCATCATTTAGTTCATTGAAGTTGTCAGTGATTTCCCAACTGGCAAACTGAGCAGTTTGTTCCTAAGGAATAATGCCTCCAATAACCTTAGAGTAAGAAACAGCGTCAAATTGTCTGTGTCTGATCAATCATGGATTTGGAAATGTCTGCTAATACAATTTGCCAGGCTTTTCCTTTTTAAAAGTACTGGACTCTACAACTGGGTGTTTACTAGGGCTGCCATTCCAGGGAAAAACTCAGACATGGATTCTTTTTTAGACCCCCCATCTACATTTTTGCCCTCTGTGGTCTTGAATATGGTGCTCAAGGTTGCATGCCTCCCGACCATTCTTGTTTTGTTATTGAGGTGGTTTTTATTTTCATGTACTTCACATTCAGGATTCTAAGGTAGGGCTACTTTTGTGGCGTTTCTGAGAAGTCATACCTGAAATAAGATTAAATAATGGTAGGTGGCGTGTTAACCCATTGTTGTCGAGACAATTCCAACTCATAGCAACCCTGTAGAACAGAATGTAACTGCTCCCAAGAGTTCCCAGGGAGTCCTGGTGTAGCACTGTAGGATAAGCACTGGAAGGTCACCAGTTCAAACCCACCAGCCGCTCTTCAGAAACCCTATACAGGGTCATCGCTGTGAGTCAGAACCAATTCCATGGCACAGCACTTAACAACAGTTTCCAAGGCTATAAATATTTATGGAAGCAGACTGCCACATCTTTCTTTCCTGAGGCAGCTGGTGGGTTCAAGCCCCTGATCTTCTGGTTGGCAGCCAAGCACTTTAACCACTATATCACCATCTCACATAAAGAAGGGAAAAATTATTTGTGATGTTACCTGGTTCAACTATATATAATAAGCACTTAAGATAGCATTTCATACCTGGCTGAGAGCTGATAGAACAGAATTATAAGTAACTTCAGAATAATTTCTTCAACTACAGGAAGCTTGGTGACATCTAATTTTATGAACTTGGCAATAGATCACCATTTGGTATTTCATGTTTCTTAATTTGGCTTCTGATCTTTGAAGCATTACTTGAACTAGAGGTTCTTAACGGAAATACTCAGCAAATGTTTTATCACAACTTTAAGGTTTCAAATGGAGGAAGGCAGGAAATTCAAAGTGTGACCAAATAGAATTCATGCCTCTCTTTGTCCAGTCGTACCAGAAGTAGTCCATCTGCTCTGGATGGCATGAATGAATCAGTGTGCAGTTTTGTCAGATGGCATTACAGCTGTCTTAGTCACCCAGTGCTGCTGTAACAGAAATACCATAAATGGAGGGCTTTACCAAACACATTTATCTTTCTCACAGTTTAAGAAGCTAGAAGTCATATTCGGTTTGAACTGCAAGGTCTGTGGTTTAAACTCACCAGCTGCTCCTCGGAAGCCCTATACAGGGTCCCTATTAGTCAGAACCAACTCGTTGGCACGTGACAACAACAGCTCTAGGAGAAAGCTTTGTCTTCCTGCTCTTGGCTCCTCAGCCTTGTTTCTGGTTCCTTGGAGATCTCCTTGTGGCTTGGCATCAATCTTCCTTCATCTCTGCTTTCGATCTTGCTCATTTAGTCTCTTTTTATATTTCAGAAGAAGGAGCTCTGGTAGCATAGTGGTTACAAATCGGGCTGCGAACCTCAGTGTCAGCAGTTCGAAACTACCAGCTGTTCCGCAGGAGAAAGATGAGGCTTTCTGCTCCCATAAAGATTTGCGGCCTTGGAAACCCTGTAAAGGGTCACTATGAGTCAGAACAGACTCTACGCACACACAACAACATGTCTCAGAAGAGATTGAATCAAAATAGCCTACACTAGTCCTGTATCATTAACATAACAAAAACAACCGATTCACAAGTGGGCTTTGTTGTTGTTAAGTGCTATGAAGTCAGTTCCTACTAATTGTGACTTTTACAGGGTTTCCTAGGAGCAGTTGGTGAGACTGAACTACTGGTCTTTCAGTTCAAACTGACCTTGCAGTGCAGTGCATTAACCCACTAGGACTCCAACCCCAGGCACATATTTTGGGGGGACACAAATCAGTCCATGACGGTGGATAAAGACGATAATACTGCCTTTTCTGTCTCTCAGGCTGTTTCCATGGAAACCTCCGGAGCTAAACAAAAGCTACCAATCATTTAGCCAAAGCTTGCCTTGGCTCATAGACCTGTACTTTTTGTACACTTGGCTATAAGAGCAGGGGCTCTTGAACATACCTTGTTGTTGTTAAGTGCTGTCTGTAGAACACTTTCCTTCCCTCAGTATTTCTCTGGAAAAAATAAAAATCATAAAATCTTACTTGAATATCTCTCAAGTCTTTACATAGTATCTCCAACCCTGTCTTAATACAGCAAGTTTCAGGTGATTTCTTAGAATGTATCTTATCACATCAAAGAGTATGGCTTTACCCCATATATTTTCATAGTCAAAGTTAGTGTTACTTAATGCTTAAAGTCCTAGGGAATAGGGCTTTTGAAAAATACAGGAGATATTGGGAAAAGATATTAGTTTGCACAATACTATATAATTATAAATATAAGCTACTCCTAGATACCTTAGATAAATTATAGAAAAGTAAGAGCGACTTAGTTTAGTGACCAAAGTCACTTGTTTACTTTTTCTAGGTTATGTAGGTTATGGTGCCATTGATAACAGAATTAGTACTAGTTAAATTAGTTAAAATTTAATCAGAGTTGGTATTACTTTCTAAAGTTACTTTTCAAGAGGAAGAAAACCACACTTAATATTTTTTGTATCTAATCAAATACTCTTCATATATAACTAATAGCTTATATTATCTTTTGTAAAAACCTTTTGAACTGTAAATGCCTCTTAAGAATGACTGGTATAATTATCCTTTTGTCTCACTAGATTTTACAGTTAGTGAACAATATCTATTTATCCAACAAAATGTATTTAAAGTAGTTCTGTCACATCATTTATAAAATTTGTATTGTGATGTAATGAACCTAATAGTCCTTATGAAGTGAAATGGTAGTTTTGTGAAATAAATATACCAAGAGTGGACATTCTTATAGACAATCCCTATAGAAGATGGTGATGGTACACTGTGGAGAAGGTTCCAACTCAGTGACCCTGCATAGGGTTTCCAAGGCTGTAAATCTTTACGGGAGCAGAAAGCCTCATCTTTCTCCTGCTAAACTGCTGGTAATTTCGAACTGCTGATCTTGAGGTTGGCAGCCCGATTCATAACCACTACGCTACCAGAGCTCCCTCTATAGAGGATAGGTAGGCATTTGTTGAGCTGACACCCCACTTGAATTTATAGGCAGTTTGATTAACCTATCCTCAAAGTTGTATCTGTTATGGTTGCTTAGTTCTTGAGTAAGACCCAGGGAACATTAATCTTTCCCACACACTACCTAGATAAATACCTTGGGAGTTGCTGACTGGAATGGGTGTGAGAACGCTCTCTCTAGTTGTATTTTAAGGTCAAGGCATTGTCCACACACTGCCATCCCTCTGCTCTTCAGCGGCAGGGAACCCCTTCCTCCCAGCTCTCTCCAAGTGGTAAGCATGTAAGTTTTATCCTAGATTAGACTTTGCCTCCTAGGATCCAGTGTGGTACGGGAGCACTGCGTGTTTGTTGTCTAGAGTCCCACCTTGTTTCTACATACCAGCAGTTGTAATGGAAGTGTATTTCCTAAGTCACCAGTAAGCAAACAATTTTTCCTCTGTCCAGCTGAGAATGTTGAGATGCTCAGCCTTATAGTCATTAACACATTTTATAAAAATAATTGAGTACTGTTTAGTATGATTCAGATGATGTCAGCATTTTAATAAATACCTGCATTATAATCCCCTTTTTAAAAAAATGTTGTACTTGGATGTAATAAATATTCAATGAAGTATATTTTATTTGCTAGAAATGTTCTGTAGAGTATATTTCACATTTTCATTTTAGAATTTGATACTGATGCTTTTAAACAAGGGTGAATATTAATTCAAGTTGGATTCCATAATGGCTACCCATTTCAACTTTATAAAGATTTATTAATCATCTTATGTTTTTTATGTTCTAAACCGTACTAAGGCATCCTACCCGCAATAAACCTGCATTACCAGACTACCTTCCCTAAGATCAAAAACAGCAGTTTACCCCTGTAAAGTAAAGCCTTCTAGACAAAGGCCACAGATTGAGAAAAAGCCTAGAGGTAGGAGGATTTTGCACATTTTGAAGAACATATGATTAGTGTGTAGAAATTGTGATGAAATTTGTCAGGAGGGAGGAGTAGCGGTGGTAGAAGTGAAAGTGCAGATCCCTGGAAATGGAGAGTCGTGATGAGATAGGGGAAAGCACAGGAGCTTGGGAGAACAGCAGAGGAGCAGATGAGAGGTGTGATTAGGACTTGAATGTCATAGACTCCTTAGAATGAA